TACCTGTTAAAATCTTTATTATTTTATTTTCTCACATTCCCCTCTAGCAGAGACACTGTGTCATTTCTCTGTAACATAATGCTCACTTGTTTCACACAAAAGTTACTTTATCACAAAGAAAAATGCTCCTTTCTTGTATGACAGCCTGATCGCTGCAGCCTTCACATTTGTCCAAGACATTTCTCATCCCCTTCATGCTTTGGCACAGCTGAGCAGAATTTACAAGCACTCTGTGGGGTAAATCTTTTCTTTCCCCTCCCCTAAATAGATACAGCCACAGCTCGCACTGCTTGTGGATGTGTGTGCGCTGTGTGCATGAGCACAGCGTGTTCAAAGGAGCCAGGACTGAATGTAAACTAAATCAGCTGCCACCCAGCAGGCTGAGAGCTGTCAGAGAAGCTTCTGACAGCCAACAGGAGGCACATGGCAGCTACAGCAGGAGGACAAAAGGCATTGCTCTCTGTGGAAGAGTGAGTCTGTGTTACACACTGGCCATGGGCAGGATGCTCCAGTGCTTTCTTACTCCCTTATATAGCAAACTGGGTAGGGTTAAAAATTTGGTTTGTTAAACTGTTATGTTAACAGAATAACTGTCAGTAGAATATTTACATGAATAACAAATGATCCCCTAGAAGCTGATGCTCTTTGCATGGTCAACTTTCAAAAATCAATTGTCTGAAACAAAGGAGCAAGAGTGAACATCACTCTCAGGGTATTCAGTACCCGTTCTAGTGGGCTAAAATATGCCCTCAATGTTTATAGCAGAGCTGGGTTTGCAGCTCTGTAACAAACATTTGTCACCCATGGGAACTGATAATGAGAGAGTAAAGTTTTGCATGACCAGCAGGCCTAAAAAAAGGCAAAGAGCACAAAGTACCCATCATTTGCAGAGGACATAAAATGAATTTTAAACATGTGTCCCTAGAGCAGAATGTCCAAACTCCTCTCATTATGCTGTATGCAATTGGCTTAATCTCCAGAAATGCTCACAACTGGGACCTTTGATGTGCTTGGTTCCACTGAAAATGAGGAGGGATGCTTAGCTGAAAAAAATTAATTAGAGTCCTTTTTTAATGAGATAACCTGAGCCAAGATACCAGTATAACCCCACTGCATATTTGAGTTTGGGACAGTTACAGAAAATTAATAATTTAATAAGTTTAGAGATAAATTTTATTATGTGAAATCCTGCACATCCGGCTCACATTTATTTTCTACCTTAACTCTTATAATTGACATCTTAATTATTTTGCCCAAATGTACTGGAGGTGTAAAATAAAACCAAAACAGCTGCACATCTAATTGTGCATTTTGCCAAAAATGCTATAACTTTCAGAAGAAAGCTCACAGTCATCTAATCATACAGAGGTACTATAAACCTAAACATCTTCCTAATCTTTTCACTTGAGCATTCCCCTGAGATGAGCAAAATAATAGTTCTTGTCATTGCTGGGGTAGAAAATATAACAGCAGATGTCTATATTCACTTGTCTAAAGTTCTTAGAAATTTACTAAATTTTCTGTCTCATGAAGATTATTTGCTATGAGTTCTGTAGATTGATTGTTCATTACACTAAATATAATTACCCCTTCTTGACCCAAGTAGTGAGTGGTAATTGAGGGTCCTAAGGTGCTGGTGCTGGCACTGAGAGGAAAAAATCTGTTGAATAATCAGTCATTTCTTTGATGTAAACCTGTCTGTTTCCTTATTGGCAAGGAAACCTGAATATCTCCCCTTTCTGCTTGGTTGCTTCATTTTGTTACACTCTGCCTTCCCAGAGCCATACTCACCATTTTTTCTTTGTTTATCTTTATGCTTATTTCTCTCATCAAGGCATATACACTACATAAAAAAAAATCACTGCCCAGCATCTCTGCTTCCCTCTGAAACTTTTTGGGTCATGGGGTCAATATTGTCTCATATTTTGCTTTGAGCCTGTGATTAGGTGATGCATCTTCTGCCTCAAGTAGCTGATTCCTCTGAGAAGCTGGGCTGCTTTTCACGGTCTGGCTGAACAGAAGGCTATCCCCACACTCACTAACATAACCACACCAATGCAGTTCTAGCTGCATTTCACAGTGTTTTCGACTCCCAGAACATGTTTTTATCCTTGTATTAAATAGAAATGGTCTCCTTTCTTTTTTTACCATCTACTCTTTTACTTTCTGAAAGGTTGCTTGCACTGTTCTTTCCTTTTCAAATATGTGTCTCCTCATGGAGATTACAGAATCACAGAATATTCTGAGTTGGAAGGGACCCACAAGGATCACCTAGTCCAATTCCTGGCCCTGCACAGGACCATCCCCAAGAATCACACCATGTGCCTGGAAGCATTGTCTAAACACTTCCTGAGCTCTGTCAAGCTTGGTGCTGCTTAGACTTCTCTCCTTTAGTGACATCTCATAAGTGATTTTTGCCTATTCTACCTTTGTGATACTTTTAGGTACCTTTCCCAGATGAGGAAAATGGAATGAACTTAACATTTCCACCTTTAATGAAGAGGATCCATGGTTGTTCAGTGCTCTGGACAACATTAGCTTTAACCATAGAGATGACAAGGAACTCTACCTGCATTTGAAGAGGAGATGTGGCATGGCTCACCTTTTAATGACACCACTTCTCCCAGCTTAAACTGTATTTAGAGTATTTCTGCTCGTAAAATTGATGAAAGTTATATTTATATCTCATCTACCTAAGGGTTCACATGTTAAAATATTGTCAATTGTCAGCAATGACAGTGTGTCTGGTCCTCCTCTGGAGACAGAGTATTACTATATGTTCATTATCAGTGCTGTTAACGAGATAATGCTCAATATACTGTGCATCTCAATAAAGTTGGCACCCATCATCTAATATTGGTTTCCTTTTAAGGGGGAAAAAGTGAGATTCAGGAATTCAGCTGAGATGTGGCACCCAGTGGTTCCAGCTCCTGTTGACTATATTTTTTCCCTAATCCAACAACTGGAAGGTATTACAAATGGAAATCAAAGAAGATTGTTGACTTCAAGAAATGCTTAAAAAGAAGCTCATCTTGTTATACATAATGCAGCATTGAACCAAGTATTGAAGATTCACATTTTCTAAACAGCAGATCTTGGAATGTTTTGTGTCCTTCACATCCCACCTGTTTATACACTGACTTTGCAGAGCCAAATTTTCCAGGCTCCATAGGATAATGCTGTTTTCATTCAACCTTCTCCCATTCAGACCATGCAGACTAACACAGAGCATGATCAGAATATTCATGATCCATGCTGAGGGAAAGGCTGCAGCCTCCTCACCCCTCTTTGCCTTGCTGCCCTGACCCAGCAGCTGGGTTTGGCTGGGCTGACTAGGGCAGGGTCAGACAACAGTGATTTTGATCTGAGATACTACAAATAACCCCAAATTTGTGGTAAAATCTGTGGGTATTGAAAGAAAAGGAGACACCAACAAAAAGCCCATCAGCAGCAACAGCGCAGCTGGGGCACACGCTGAGAACCTGCTGCTTTACATGACCTGGTGTTAATTTATTTAATTTGCACTGTTACACTTGGCATTTGCTGGCCATAATGCAAGCTGTTCATTTGCAGTTACAGATAGACAGTAGAGGTTATCAATCCCATCTAGCAGAAATTAAGCACAGAACTTTGAGCAACTTTCAAGTCCTGTCCTAATAATAAGTGCCGAGGAAAACAAGGTGTCCAGAGAGCACCGCACAGGACAATGTAAAAGTGCAGAGCTGGTTCCAAAAGGTGCAGAAAGTCCAGATATCAGGGAGCAAAGGCACCGCTATTAGGACTCAAAATCTTAGTTTCAATATGACAATTTTTCTGAATTTGGAAGGTTTAAATTAACTCAAATTTTCTCCTCCCACCCTACCCAAATTTTCCTGGGCAAGTGTCCCGGGCCAGACTGCAGCTCTGCCCTGACTCCACAGGTTCCCAGCGCCTGTCAGACGGCTCTCCTGCCTCCCCCAGCGATGAGCGGAGAGGATGCAAAACCCTCCAGCCCCACTCAGAAAGGGGAGACTGCGAGGCGGGACGTGCCGAGCTGCGCCCGATCCCTGCGGCTGCCCGCCCTGCCCGGGCCACAAACGCAGTGCGGGCAGCCAAACGCACAGGGACAGCGGGGACAAGAGAGGGGACAAGAGAGGGGACAAGAGAGGGAGAGCGGGTGCAGCCCACGCGTGGCGCGCCCGGGGCATGGAACCGCTGCCCACCTGTGACAAGAGCACGGACTTAAGCCCTCTGCCCACCCGTGACAAGAGCACGGACCGCAGCCTGCTGCCCACCCGTGACAAGAGCACAGACTGCAGCTCTCTGTCCCCCTTCCCACCCGTGACAAGAGCACGGACCGCAGCCCTGTTTCCCACTGCCCACCCGTGACAAGAGCACGGATCACAGCCCTCTGTCTCGCTGCCCACCCGTGACAAGAGCACGGACCGCAGCCCTCTGCCCACCCGTGACAAAGGCAAGGACTGCAGCCCTCTGCCCTGCCTTGACAAGAGCGCGGACCGCAGCTTTCTGTCTGCCTTCCCACCCATGACAAGATCACGGACCGCAGATTTCTGTCCCGCTTCCCACCCGTGACAAGAGCACGGACCTCTGCCCGCCCGCACGGCGCCGCTAACACATGCAGCAGCAGCATCCCGGCTCCGGGCTTTGCGTTCAAACTCCCGACGTGGGGAAGGAAAACCTCGCCGAAGCGGAGCTGCGGGTGGCAAACCAGCGAGCTGCGCGGGAACGGGGCCGTCTCCGGCGGCGATTTCCGTCCCCAGGGCACCTGTCCGTGCTCCCCGCGCCCGCTCCCTCGCCCGCTGCCCCCGCTTTGCCCCGCCGCGCTGCTCCCGGTGCCGGCGCTCCCCTCAGCGCTCCTCGGCGCGCTGCGAGAGGGAGCGGATTTTAAAGCGGGCTGCGTGCCTGCCCCCCTTCCGCCCCCTCGGCACGCAGGGAAAGCGGAGGGAAAAGTTGCGCTCTCCGGCCGCCCACGCCCGGCTGTCCGCCGCCGGTGCCGGTACCTGTGCCGCCGATGCCCTGCCGGGCGCTCTCCAGGGGGAAGATGCCGGCGCACTTCTCCCGCTCCACCTGCCCGCCCAGGCACAGCTCCGAGATGATCTGCAGCGCCTTGTGGCAGAGGCTGCCCACGCCGTCCTCCGCCGGGAAACTCATCTTGCGCCCCGGCCGCCGCCGCTAGGCCATGGCCGGAGCGGGACGGCTCCGCGCCCGACCCGCGCTGCCTCCGCGGGGAGCGGAGCGGGGCAGAGCGGCGGCGGCGGCGGGAGCGGCGCGAGTGCTCCCAAGAAGTAGTGAAGGAGCGGGGGGAGGCAAAAAAAAAAAAAAAAAAAAAGAAAAAAAAGGGGGGGGGGGGGAGGGAAAAAAAATAAAAAGAGGGGGGAAAAAAAAAATAAACATCCACTTAGCAACGCCTTTTGTGGCTCCGGGCTCCGGCAGGCGGCTCGGCCAATGGCAGCCCGGCGCGGGGGGCGGGGGGCCCTCGCATCCCCCGGGAAACTTTTCCTTCCCCCGCCCCGCGGCCCCGCTCCGTGCGGTGCGGTGCGGAGAGGTGCGATGGGCGGAGCGCGGACCCCGCCCGGCCGCAGCAGCCCGGGAAAACCGGGGGATAGCGGGGACAGCGGGGACAGCGGGGACATCAGGGGGATAGCGGGGACAGCGCGGGGATAGCGGGGATAGCGGAGACAGCGGCGCGCTCCGGGCGCTGCTCCTCGGCCGCCCACCAGCAGAGCTGGTTCCCCAGCGCTCCGCTCCTTCTTCCCCCGGCGTTTCTTCCGAGCTGACCTCGGCGGGGTGATCTTCACTGCGTCGAGTAACTTCACTGACCAAATCACCGTCTCCGCTCCGCTTCCCCGCGATCGACATTGACTCTGTCGATTTCTTTAACTTCTAAAGGAGTTAGAGGAACCTTACGGTTGTCTGGTTTGTTTCCTCTACAGATTCTGTAAAGTTGGGTTATTTTATAGGTAAAAAAGGTGTAGCGATGGTGTGTGTTTGAATATACTTCTAAAAATCAGCGCAGTGTGTACCACTAGTGGTTGTTTCAGTTATTGGCTATGGAGCTGAGCAAGACTTCATCTGTTAACTTGTTCATCTGCTTACTGAAATTCTGACACAATTTTATGTTTCTGAGGGAAGATTCCTCTAGTTCGACTGCATAAATATGTCTTGCAATGCTTAATTCTAACTAGGCATAGATGGAAGGGTGTCTGCCAGCAGTTCACTTAGCAGCACTGCCTGTAGTCTGCTGCTTGGGTGTCTTGGTTTCATAGGCATGAGAAGTTAACTTCTGTGATGCTGTGGTTTTTTCCCCCCTGGATTTTGATATTTTATCTATTACCTGTAAATAAATATCTCTAGCAAACTGTCAAATTTAACAGTTGAAAACTTTAAAGCCATCCTTTGATACCTGAATTACAGAATAAGAAAATGGATTATTATTCCAGTTTTAATTCTGAAATTCTATACTTTATGTAGCATAGACACTTGTTAAAAACACAAGAAGATACTTCTAAACCCCAGCCTTTTGGTGGTTTGAAGGAGCATGCATTTATACAGATGAATTCATGCACATGCACTCTTCAAAATCTTAGGGAAGTAATAGACTGAGTTGTACACAAACTGTAACATCAACACAAAATCTGTTTCACAGAGCTTTTTTTTTTTTCAGAGATATAACACCTATTTCAGAAATATCAGATGCTACTAAAGAAATTGTTCCCCATTTAATGCCTTTCCTGAAACTAGCACTGTCAAAACCCTTTGTTAATGCTGCAAAATGTTCTGTCAAATCTTAGAATGTTTAGACTGTAGCTAGGCAGGGCACAGAACTGTGGAGGTCTATTTGAAGACTCCTTTCACCCGCATAGGGAACTAAATCTGTATAATTATTAAAATAGTCTTGCTAGCAATAAAAATGTATGTAGATATTTTCATTAGAGTGAAGGCAACTGCTGCCTACATCCAAACTTCAAAATATGAACATATTTACTGTCTGTGTGACATTTGCAGTCCTGTTCCCAAAATTCTGTCATGCATCACCAACTAATAATTAAGCAGTCTGTTTATCTTTGAGACTTACCCAGAACTCCAGCAAAAGCTAACAGGAGACACACATACAAAGAAAGGGTCTTAATCAGAAATTGGTATTAATGAGAGCAAGGACTGCATTTAAAGGCTGAGAGCTAAGCTCCTTCACTTTTGAACTTTTTTACAGACTGTGCCCATGGATGAATCACACAGCCCATGAATGAAATTTTTGCCACTGATTATAGTAAAGTCCCACAGATAGACCAGTCTGCTATCCTGCTATTTTATTTGTGTAGTGAGACTTTGGTGCATTTCTCAACTGCTTATCTTTGCACACAAGAACTTCATTTCAGTGAAAATCACACCATCTTGATGTCATTGATATTATTGATATATTCATAGATGCAGAAAAGCACAAACAGGTGTATTCTACAGTAAATAATAATAAAAAAGGCTCCTGTTTTTGAAGATTTTAAGGTAGGTGTTTGGAAGTGGATACCAACTCATCTCTCTTAGACATCCTAAATATTTAAAAAAATGCTTTTAGGTACATAGCAAACATCTGCCTCACTAAATACTATCACTGTACCTTTATCAAAGGCATCTAAATTATCTAAATCCTGTTGTTCAGTAAGTAGCATGGAACATAAACTTAAATTAATCAATAGGATAGTTTTTTCTCATTCTAAGTACCATGAGATTAGTTTCACCAGGAGATTAATGATTGTTCTGGTGAGATATGCTGACTAACTTGTCCTAAACCAGTTCCAAAAACAACTTTTATTTTTGGAGTCAAGTTATTGATGAAGAAGATGCTTTTCTATTGAGGATTTTAGTCTTAAATATAAATTCAGATTACCAATCACGGCATTTTTTTCTCCAATATGTTCTTTCAGTGGAAAACAACTTTTTCTGCATATGGAAGGACATAACAGCTTGTTTTCGAGCTACAACTCCCACTGCTTTGATTTTTCAATAGCCTGGTAATTTTTAAATTAATATGCAGCTGCATCCTGTGCCCTGGTATCCACCAAGACCATTAATTTTCCCTGTGGGAGGGGTCTCACACGGTGTTTCAGGACAGAGTGACCTCTTGCCTCGTGGGTTCCAGGCAGGGCCATCAGACCAGACCATCCCAGCTCCTGCTGTTCTGATGCTGGTCATTACCAGGTTCATACTGCCTTGACAGCTTCCTCTTGACTAAGGGAGAAAATTCCTCTTTTTCTCCAAAACAATTGCACATATTCACATCCTGATGTTGTCCATGAAGTGTCCAACCAGAGGTAAGGGTACTATGCTCTGGAAAGGATAAACAGGGCAAAATGCTCTGTTTTGTGAGAAGTAAAGTAACCTTTAATGAGGATACTTCACTGGGAGGTTTTGAAGATTAGGCAATATAGGTAGCCTATATATAAACACAGATAAAAATTTTGGCCTTGATCTCTTGATTTGGAATCCAATAAGGATGCCAAAAAGAAAAAAAAAAAAAAGCATTGGGTCCGGGGAAAAGAGACATTTCAGCATTCTACTTTTAAGAAACTATGGGTAGAAGAAAATGGAAACTATAGGTTACAAACACAGTTTGCCTTTGCAACAGTTAGAAGGTTTTTTAATAAGAGTTACATTTTTTCCAGATAAAATCTCCGTAAATTCCTTGTAAACAACAAAATAAACCCTGAAACATTAAAAATTGCTTTACTCTATCTACGTATTTTTAGTCCTCTACTTTTGTGTAAGAAGTGAAGGAAATAAAAATGCACACAGCAGTCCAGGAGCCAGTCAAAACTGAATGTTCCTAACTTGCAAATTAGAAAGGAAGACTGCTATGAGCACATATAAACAGGGACTCTTCCTTAGCTTAAGCAGTAATACAAAAAGTATCGAATTTTTAATTTTTTTATACCATTCTTATAATTTTTTCTGCTTGCTTCCACAGTTTGATAATATATGGTACTACAGAGTCCTCCTATGAGTTGCTTCTTCCAACTTCTAATTTACTGTGAATAAAACTCAGAATCATAAAGAGAGCTCCCCATATTTTGTCCAAACAGATGCTTCTTCAATTTTCAGAAATACTGAGCAACTGTTACTTTATTTTTTTTCCACTTGATTTGGTGCAGTTGGTACTTTAGACTACAAATCTGAGCAAGGACAGTCCTTCAGGACCTGCACAAACAGATGAAGCCACTTCTGAGAGCCAGCAGCTAACAGGGTTGGCAGTTTTGTGAAAACACTTTTTAAAAGATGTATAGCTTGGAACAATTTATGAAGATTTACTATAAGTCCTGCAGAATAATTGGTTAGGGAGAAAGGACAAAGCGATTACTACTGTATTTTATTTCAAATTTTGCTTTTTATGTGATGCATGGCATTGACAAATTCTTGGTGTCTTGGAGCCCTGCATCCACTGTGAGTTGTTGTTTGCTTTTTAGCTACTAGCAGGTAATTACATAAAATCCCTTTTTTCACTGCAAAACCCTAAGCATGGGCTGTGGTGGTTTTTTACGTCTGTTTGAGCAGGAGGAATGGCAGAGCAGCCAGCAGATCCCTACAGCTCATACTGGGTCATGGGGAGGATGGATATGGTTTGGTGTGTCCAGTGGACAGATTGTTGGAAGAGGTTAGAGGGGCAAATTAAAGACAGTTTCCACCTCTGATAGTTTTGTTTTGCTTTTTTTTTTTTTTATTTTTTAAGTACATGAAGTATTTTTGGGTCCAATCAACCTTTTATACCTGCCATTTCTCAGCTGAAGGGCTTCCTTGCCTCCTCTCTGTGGCTGTCTCCACACAGCCTCTCATTTATCATTTTCACCTGATTTTTGAAGCAGAAGAAAAGCAAGGTCACAGAGAAGCAACGTGTTGGAGCATGTATGTGTGACATGGTGCCTCAAAAGAACATGTTCTATGGGATCATAGCATGTTAACAATCTCTGTTGCCATTTTTTCTTCCTATTACCTTCCCTTCTTTGTTGCACTTATTGAGGAATGAGGTTGTAACTGGCATTAGCAAGGTTTCTTCAGCTTCAGGACAAGATATCACACTGAAAGAATGATTTGCAAAGTTGGTTGGTTTGAAGAACCCATAGAATAATAGGAAAAAATTATTTTTCTTCTCTCAGAATACTTTTCCAAGTTTTTCCTGAAAGCAAACTTTGTTAAAATACTCTC